CTCCGATGCCCGACGAGGAACCGGTCACTACAACTACACTACCCGTGAAGTTACGGGACTTTGCGACCGCCTTATAGTCCTCTATAGGATAGTCTGCGCTCACAATACAAACCAATCCACACATCAATGCTATTAATAATTTCATATTTATAAGTTATAAGTCTTTATATAATGAAATACGTTATAAAATACAAAATTGAATATAATATTATAAAAGTTTGATATTGTTAAACTCCAGTAAATATATTCAGTGTTTATATATAGAGATATTTTTTTTGCGCTAATCACGAATTAAAAGACATTATTGTTAAATGTCAAGTGGACACTTTAATCAAAACTTAATAATTCTTATATAAATGATTTAATCACATTGTGTGTCACATTTTAATGTATTGCACTTTATTAATACAATGAAGTTAATAATCTACCTAGGGTAATCTAATTTAGGGTAATATTAATTTACCTTATTGACAACAATAGTGCATTGGGTGCTTCACAGACCTTACTGATATCGATGCTGATCACAGACCTCTTATAAATAATACTCTATATAATTACAAGGATTAATACTAACTCTGGTTATACCGTTACTTTTGAATTTACAATAAAAAACCACGATTGATTTGGTGAACCCGGTATTAACATTGTTCTAAAATAGTTGGTTTTAGATTTTTATAAAATTATGTAACTTATTTACAAAACAAAAATTCAACTTTTTAATTAATATTGATTGATTATTAATTATGTCAAATAGACTAATTAATTATTTCTAAATATGAAAATAATTACTAAATAATTAAAATAATTAAATAACTTGATTAATATCGATGTTCTTTAAAATATCAATTGTAACAAATTAAATATACAAATAATTTTTAAAACACAATTATTTTATTAATAGTTCCAATTTTACACAAAAATACATAATTGAATTAATATATGTATCTATATTATATTCTTACAAAATCTATGTAATAAATACAGTTTATAGTACATTAATAACACCGGAATTGAATACAGCCCCGCCGTCGACCACTATATTAGCGCCGGTAATAAAGTGTGCGTCAGTGGAGGCCAGGAATGCGACCGCACGGGCAATGTCTAGGGGTTGACCCACTCTTCCCAATGGCGTGTATTTCGGTGCAAGAATTTCTATAGGACTCGGAGGGTCTCTCACATGTACTAAACCGGAGCTATTGGTGTAAATGTAAACCAGTGTTAAACTAATTAAGTAATTGAGTTCGAGCAAAAGCAATAAGTACTAGTTTTTATTAAAATACTTACTTAATAGTATTAACACGAATATTTTTAGGCCCCAATTCCAGGGCTAATATTTTGCCCAACATATCCAGACCTGCTTTGGCAGACGCATAAGCTAGTGTAAATTTGACCTATATTAATTTAATCAGGATAGTATTAGTTTATAATTTAAAAGTAAAACTCTAATAAAAAGTGAGTTTATATAAAATTGTAAAGAATAACAATAATTATTATTGCAATAGCTGTAAATTGTAAAATTTAGTTTCATAAAAACATGTATAATCACTGATCATTAATCATTACATTATCATTACAAACAGTTGTTATACTTATATAAGATATAATTGATATTTAATAAATAACAAAATAACCATTATTTCAAACATACCGGTGCGAGTGATGCCACACTCGAGATATCAATTATAGTTCCGTTGGTTTTCTCCAGATGTGGAACCGATTGATGGATGAGTTCTACGACAGCGCGTAAATCGACGGCAAAGATCTGATCCCAAACTGACAACAGATCCGTTTGTGTTATGTTTGTCGTCGGATAAATACCGGCGTTATTGACCAATACATCAATTTTGCCAAACGTTTTGATTGTAGAATCAATCAAATTGTTTACATCAGAGGTTTTGGTCAAATCTCCCACAACTTTTAATGGCTGTCAAAAAATTATTAATTTTTAAAAAATTTATTATTTTTCAAATTAAAATTCCTAAATAATGTACCTTTAGTTTCAGTGGTGACAACTCCTGGATCTCTTTGGCCACCCGTTGAACGTCCTGTGCTGTCCTTCCAGTGACCACGACATTAGCCCCTAATATGGAAAACAGTTTAACGATTCCCTCTCCGATGCCCGACGAGGAACCGGTCACTACAACTACACTACCCGTAAAGTCCCGGGACTTTGCGATTGCCTTATAGTCTCCAATAGGATAGTCTGCGCTCACAATACAAACCAATCCAAACATCAATGCTATTAAGAATTTCATATATAATAATACTCGATATAAAACAACTGCAAATCAATAAATTATTCTCTTAATAAATTTATTAATTTTAGTTTGTGGTGTTTATATAGAGTTGCATCCTTTTACACTAAACTCACGTTATCTAGATAACAGTATTTTAATCTACAATTTTATGTTGCAAATGGCTTATCTAATTAAATCAAGTGCATTGAAGTCAATGTGAAGTGGTTCCAAAGATGCTCAAACAAACATTTAACTAACGTTATTATCTAGATAACTAAAATTGATATCAATATAGGTAAATCATAAATATATACAGTATATTAGTAAACTTTATATATGCAGTAGATCACGGTGTGATTCTTGTTAAATATATAATTTATATGAAATAATGTAATGTAACAATTATATAAAATGATATCTAAATAAATTAAGATTGCATCAAAAACATAAACCAAATATTCATATATTACTTAAAATGTGTCTAAAACATGCTAGGTAGTTTGATCACATTTTGTTGAAAAATATAATTGATATTTTAATGTAAATTCAAAATTTAGCAAAACCCATATGGTCAGTCTACTGATATATCCATTGGAGTCAAAATCTTACAAATGGATGTACAAAGCATTAGAGAGTGTGTTATAATTTATACACTATTAGGAATTTATTGAAATATAAAGTATATATGAAAATTATACTCTGGTTAGTGTTTTAATTCTTTATTTTTTGTATTAAAAACCACGATTAGTTTTTGACACTCGGTTTATTTTACGGGCAAACTATTTTTGGAGTCACCTCGATATCTTGGATTTTATCAATAGTAATAAATAAAGTATATAAATAATTTCTAAAATAACAATTTTTATTTATAACAGTTTAATTACAAATTACATAATTAAACATTCATACATGTGTTTAAATTATATATACAGATTATAATGTATTCATAACACCGGTATTAAATATAATGCCGCCGTCGACCACTAGATTAGCGCCGGTAATAAAGGCTGAGTCAGTGGAGGCCAGGAATGCGACCGCACGGGCGATGTCTAGGGGTTGACCCACTCTTCCCAATGGCGTGTATTTTGAAATGAGAATTTCAAGGGGTGTCAGCGGGTCTTTCACATGAATAGCACCCGGACTATTGGAGTGAATATAAAGATTAAATTAAGTGATTTAGAGCATAACTTTTATTTAAATACTTACTTAATAGTATTAACACGAACATTTTTGGGCCCCAATTCCAGGGCTAATATTTTAGTCAACATATCCAGACCTGCTTTGGCCGATGCATAAGCTAGCTCAAATTTGATCTATTTTGATTTAATCAATATAGAATTAGTTTATAGTTATAATGTAAAGAACTAATTATAAGTATAAATTATATAAATTTGTAAATAATAATAATTGTTATTGTAATATCTTAACATTGTAAAATTTAGTTGAAAAATCACGTATATTCATAGAATTGTTTGAATACATAATAAATTTACAGTATAATATATTGGTACTGGTATTAGTATTGGTACTGGTATTGGTACTGGTACAATACTGGTACTTTTATAATGTGTTATATTATGTTTTGATAAGTGGAATATGAAGTTTACTTTACTTTATAAGTTATTATTGATATTTTATAAATAACAAAATAACCATAATTTAAAACATACAGACATACCGGTGCGAGTGATGCCACACTTGAGATATCAATTATAGTTCCGTTGGTTTTCTCCAGATGTGGAACCGATTGGTGAATGAGTTCTACGACAGCGCGTAAATCGACGGCAAATATCTGATCCCAAACTGACAGCAGATCTAATTGAGTGATATTTGTCTGCGGATATATACCGGCGTTATTGACCAACACATCTATTTTGCCAAATGTTTTAACCGTAGAATCGATCAAATTATTTACATCAGAAGTTTTGGTCAAATCTCCCACAACTTCTAATGGCTGTTAACAAAATATTGTTTTTATTAGAAACTTATTTTTTAAATAATTATGTTTAAAAATATTAATACCTTTAGTTTTAGTGGTGACAACTCCTGCACCTCTTTGGCCACCCGTTGAACGTCCTGTGCTTTCCTTCCGGTGACCACAACATTAGCCCCTAATATTGAGAACAGTTTAACGATTCCCTCTCCGATGCCCGACGAGGAACCGGTCACGAGAATCACTTTTCCCGTGAAGTCCCGAGACTTTGCGACCGCCTTATAGTCTTCTATAGGATAGTCTGCGCTCACAATACAAACCAATCCACACATCAATGCTACTAATAATTTCATATTTAATAGCAACCAATAAAATAATATAATGTAAAATATAAAGCAACTGTTGCAATTTAATAGTTATATTTTTTTAAGTTTGTTGTGTTTATATAGTGTCGCAAACTTTTGCAATCAACTCAGATTAAGAGTACTTTAATGACAATATGCCAAATGATCTTTCTAATCAATTATAGTGCATTGTGGTCAATTGTTATTATATGAAAACAATGTGAAGTGGTTGCAAAAAGCTAAATAATCGTTTAACTAATCACTATAAATTAGTTTGCATTATCAGTTTACTCCTGCCCTTTAAATTTACAAATTCTGTACTAAATAATAGCATTAATATTATTTTAATAACTATAAAAAAGTTTTTATTATTTTATTGTAAAAGTATATTTGTCCAAAATACAAGCATATTTTTAAAACTAATAATTCACATAATTATCTATTAATATCAAACCAGTGATATTAAAAACGAATACAGAATAAATTGAATGCATGACATTCAATATCAAATCAATCTAATTCAGAAATTATAAATAATAATATAGTATGTCTGTTTATGCCGTTAAATCCTAGACCTTGCTAATAATAAAATAGTTATTATTAATTAAGTGCTAGAATAATGCCTAGTTAAAATTCTATAAGTTGCAAAATCATGTTAAAGCGCATTGTTGTTCAATCGATTTGTGTAAAAATATAGATCTATTTTGTACAAAACATTAAAAATTATTATATAAATTATTGATTTTAAGTAAGGATGTACATATTTATTAAATATAACCGTTATACAACATTTATTGTGCTGCACAAAATGCAAAAAACCTTAATCATGTAATAACAACAAGTTTATTTATAGAAAATTTACATTGTATTTAAAACGCCCACATTGTATATAATGCCGCCGTCGACCACTAGATTAGCGCCGGTAATAAAGTGTGCGTCAGTGGAGGCCAGGAATGCGACCGCACGGGCGATGTCTAGGGGTTGACCTACTCTTCCCAATGGCGTCACTTTTGCGGCCAACGTTTCAAAAGGGTTGGGAATTTTGCTCACATGTATAGCACCCGGACTTTTGACAATATATGATGAATATGAGTGAGTTTGAGAGAGAGAGAGAGAGAGAGAGAA